GTATAGAAAATAAAGGTTTAATAGTGACTTTTTCCTTTTTTTTTTACCCTCAACAGCATTTATTTTAACCTTGTACAGCAACTGGATCTGGTTTGACGATGAAACTGGACGGCTTTTCTAGCAGGTCATCATTTGGTAATGCTGGGTTAGTCCTGCTGCTGTCCATCGCCCTGAGCAACAGGGCCGTAGTGCTATTGGTGGTGAAGAAGGGTGTGTGTTCCTCCTCTGAATCGATCACTAGCATGCTGTCCCCACTGGACTGCACATGGCCATCAGTCGCTCTTTTGGTGCCACAGCTGTCGATGTTGTTGTTTGTTTTGTCCTCGGGTGACGCTGAGAACAAATGGCCGACAGCTGTAGTGTCATGCTCTCCTATGACTTGGTAGTAACCGTTCTCCATAGCGAGCAGAGGACTCGGTGGTAAGCTGTGTGCCTCGTGGCCGTGGTTGTAATGTGCAGAGTTCCTCTTCTGTTCATCTCGGCTCATGGACTGACGTTTGTTGGATAACAGCAGGGGGCGCTCCTCCTCACCTGAGGGGCTTAGAGCCACCGAGGGGACGGAGATGGCGAGGCTGGAGAGAGGGGCTGACATCTCGGACGGGGGAGACCCTGGAGTCGCAGGAGAGGAGCGACACCCCGGAGACATCTGGGTTCTGTCAGATACAAACCTGCAACAGAGCACAATCACAGCAGAAACATGTTTACTTAAAGGTCACCTATTATGCAAAATCCACTTCTTCATGTCTCTTCTACATCAACATGTGTCCCCTCTTCTTCATGTCTCTTCTACATCAACATGTGTCCCCTCTTCTTCATGTCTCTTCTACATCAACATGTGTCCCCTCTTCTTCATGTCTCTTCTACATCAACATGTGTCCCCTCTTCTTCATGTCTCTTCTACATCAACATGTGTCCCCTCTTCTCCATGTCTCTTCTACATCAACATGTGTCCCCTCTTCTTCATGTCTCTTCTACATCAACATGTGTCCCCTCTTTTCCTTGTCTCTTCTACATCAACATGTGTCCCCTCTTCTTCATGTCTCTTCTACGTCAACATGTGTCCCCTCTGTGGAAAGAGACTCTGAAAGTTTCAGGAACAAAGATTCTCTCTCTTTTTGTCCTGATCCATTTCTATAAAAACCTGTTTGAAAATGAGCTGATCAGATTTTGGCCACTTTATGATGTCATAACGATTTTTTGGCTTGTGTAACCATTAGCCAATCAGCAACTAAGGTGTTTAGGGAACACATTAGAAATGCGAAAAAAGGACACATCATAGGCATTGATCGTTTAACTGAGCCTATTGATAATTTAAACTTGTAGTGGATGATTATGCATGCATAATTCACACATATGAGAAGCACTATATCAATGTTGTGCTAATGCTCAATTGTTAAGATCTATTAGAGAAATTGGCAAGCGTGAGCTACAGACGAAAACGCTCTGAGACATCCAATACATTAAAAGGCTGTTGCCCTTGATCACAGCAGCTTCTTAGAGATGATCATTCTGCTGGGGAACTGTCTCAAAAAGCATCTTACTCTCTGTAAAAACAATATCAAAACTGCAGGTGTTTGTATCAGGAGTGTGCATTCTTTCATAAGCTGTTTTAAAAAGTACTGTCACTAGGGTAAAGAAGGCAGGACCCAAAAGCAGGAGAGGGGAGGCAGGTATAAAAGTAAAAATGAAAAAGCAAGATTTAATAGATTAAAGCTTGTACAACAAATATGAAAACTGGAGGCGAGGTAAAAAAAAAGGAAAGTAACAAATCAAAACCAGGATGACACAAAGAAAAAGGGAGCAGCAAATCAACATGGAGACAATAAGGAATACACGGAAAGCTGAACAAGACTGGGCAAGACATGGACTGGTACAATGACAGGCATGAAGAGAGAAGACAGGATTAATTACGTTGACAACACACAGCTGCAGAGGGAAGGTAAGGACACGAGATCACACAGGTACAAAGAATCAGGGCAAACAGGTACAAAAGCGGGAAAATCACAAGGGCGGGAAGTCAAACAAGAGAGAAATTCATTTCAGAATAAAACATGGTATTTCTTCAGTACTTATTGATAGCTTGAGCACACGACATCTCAACACAAGTTCGGTGCTCGGAAATAAATAGGTAAAAACATGATTTTGTGCTAAATTTGAAGCTATTAGTTTGTCCAGGTACTGAATGAAAACATGACACACATTTCAAACCTGGTTCTGGCAGACACAACAGCGTGTATTTGTCTTTTTTTCTCTCATTAACATCCTACCAGATAATGACCAATTGGGAATTCTGGATGAGGAATATGTGCAAGTGCATATTGGGTAATATCCCGGTAGGCAGAGGTGGGAAGTAGTGGAGTACAAATACTTTGTTACTGTACTTAAGTAAATTTTTCTGGTATCAGTACTTTACTCCACTTCTTATTTTTCTGACTTTTTACTTTGACTTCTTACATTTTGAACACAAATACCTGTACTTTCTACTTCTTACATGTTGAACACAAATACCTGTACTTTCTACTTCTTACATGTTGAACACAAATACCTGTACTTTCTACTTCTTACATGTTGAACCCAAATACCTGTACTTTCTACTTCTCACATGTTGAACCCAAATACCTGTACTTTCTACTTCTTACATTTTCCAAACAGGCTGGTTCCTTTAGTCTGAATGTGTGTTTGGTGGCGTGATCATTATTATTTAGAGTCATTGCGTGCCTATTGATTTGAACACGATCCGTGTATCCATCATTTCCTGGTCTTCTCTAAAGAAGAGGGACCAATGGAAACGTTGTCATGTTGCCGTTGTTCAGCATGGAAACATTCAATTAGCTAACAATGACATTATTGTTCTATTAATATAAAGGGAGGTCAGGTACTCTTTAAAACAGCTGCTAGTTATGGGTACTTTTAACTGAAGTACATTTCAAAGCCTCTTTACTTTTACTTGAGTAAAGAAGTTTAGTCAGTACTTCTACTTTCACCAGAGTATTTTTAAACACGAGTATCTGTACTTCTACTTGAGTAAAGGATGTGTGTACTTTTGCTCTCTCTGAACAGTAAGTATTTGTACTCCAGTACTTGTTATGGTTGTTAGACNCTTCTTCTTCTTCTTCTTCTTCTTCTTCTTCTTTTCTTCTTCTTCTTCTTCTGCTGCTTTGGGTTTACTGGCAGGCCGCAAACAACTTCACGGTGTATACTGCCACCCGAAGTCCCCGGCCGGAAGTCCCCGGAGTTGGGGACTGGCTTCTTCTTCTACTGAAGCCTTCCGAGTAAATCGCCAGAACGCCGACACCTGGTTGGTGGTTTGCAATTCGCCCAGCCAATCAGAAATTGGTACTTTTTCTCCCCAGGATAGTCCCACCTCTCAAGCAGGCACTAAATATTTTCTCTGAACTAAGTTCTCTTTTTGGTGTGAACGCAAAATTCCAGGCACTAACGGACCTAAACGGGAAATGTACGGGTAGAAGTACTCCGGTGTGAAAGCGCCTTTTGTAATGATTGATGAATGGAAGTCTCTCAGGAAAATTCTCCTTTTCTCTTCTCTTTTAAAGCATGCTGAATAGCAATGGCGTGAAAGAGATCCAGCGCTATGCCTTCAATGGGAGCAGACTGGAGGAAGTGTAAGCCATTTTGAATGTTAACAGTGGAACAAAAACATAATCTTAAACTGAAGAGAATTACTACTGTGTTAAAAAAATATTTAGTTTTAGTAATAATGGATGTTGTGTACAGATCAAAATGTGGCCGTGGTACATTGTCCCTGATCTATCCTCCATTTTGTTTTTGTGGCCAACCTATTGATTGTTTTCTAGCCCTCACAGAGCGACATATATACACAGACACTGGATCTGCCCGACTGTTTTGGACGTAATATGGTCGGTGTTTACATTAGCATGGCTAACACTCAGAGCTAACCTGTACTGGAGAGCATGTGTGTGAAGAAGCAGGAAATAAAAAGGAACTCACCTTGTGGTATAACCGGCAAGAGAGAAAGCCTTTGAGCTCCATACTGTTTCAGAAATAATCCTTGATAATCCATGATATGGCGTTTCATCACGGCAGTATTTAGTTTAGACAGTAGCTGCCGGGTCCAAACTAAATACTGCCGTGATGAAACGCCATATCATGGATTATCAAGGATTATTTCTGAAACAGTATGGAGCTCAAAGGCT